CAAAAAATTGTTGCATTTGTTGACTTTGCTTTTAATAAAGTTGTTGGAGATTAATTTGGAGAAATAAAAGAAGTCTCCAAAAACTGCTAAAATTCAATTCTTTACGAAGATAAAGTAGTGATTTGCAATTCTAGCAATAATCAAAAGCAGTCAGAAGTGCATCACAATGTCGCTCATACTGGCAAGCTGGCTTTTCATGATGCGAAAGTCGTCAATGAAAGAGCTGTTGCCGGAAAGAGCCAGCTAATTAATGACAAAGCACTTATGACGAGAGGGTCTTCAGATTCCTTGACGCTTTGTCATGCGTCATATTAAATAAGTTACGAAGTTAAAGAGGATTGTTTCCAAATAGATGACAGATTTATAGTGTGAGCAAAGGCAATACTACTTTCAACTGTTATTTTTTAAATTGATATCGACTATTTTCAGAATACTAGTTGTTTTACCTAGATTTATCCCAGGCTAGCAGGCCTGCGAATAAAGTCGAATATTTTTTTATAGATTTACGTGTCAAATGTGAGCATTGTTATATAGGTATTACTTGTAGTGCCCCAAAAGAAACTAAGGACAAGTTTTCAATATCAGACGATCAAGGACCTGCACATAGCGCCGTAACAGAAATCTGCCGAGGAACCAGTGGAGTATTTTAAACAGAAATTAAGAAGATAGAATAGTTGACAATAATCAGGCAATAAATCAAAACATTTTTTCTAGTTTGTTGGAATAATAAAACTAAAAACGTCTTTTAAATTATTCCTCTTGATTCCATAGGTAGTAATGACTCTCTGCACACGCATACTATTACAGCTGAGATCATAATTGAAATAAGTTCCGTCACACTCTTTCATCACTCTAGACCAAATACCCCTGGCTGGCATTAGCAGTTGTGTGAAGATGAAGGGTAATCTAAGATAGATTTTAGTCAAAGGTAATAAGAGCATAAGGAATTTCGAAAATGAATCTCATGACAATATAGTAGATGCATTAACTCTTTTCAAAATCCGCGTTTTGGGACCAACAAATTTCGGAGCCCCCGATTTCTTATAACATGTGCTAAACACAATGCCTGGAGTGAATATAATAAGAGCTAGAAGCAGCATGGTATATTGGCTAAAATCAATATTGTATACCATGTGGATCGAGTATAGGACAGCCCGAGCTTTCCTAGTTAACGTAGCAAAAATAGTATGGGAAAAGCAAAGCAACTAATTTTAATACAATTTGCGGCACAGCTGCAGCTTAATCACAGTCCAAATTTATTCAGCGAGTATAAACACTCTATATGCAAAATAAACATTTTTAACTGATCAATAAAAGCAGTTGAATTAAAACAAATAAATATCTGGGAGAGCATTGTCCAAAAAGTATAATTAAGGCGAGTATAAGCCATTTTTACCTGCAAAAAGACTAAGTCAAATAGCTAGAGCATGCATTTTAATAAACAAGACATGATATTTAAACGCGAGGCTCTGCCACGAGCGTAGCATTCTTATTAATAACCTTCCGAAAGATTACTAAAAGCCCATGAGCCTTCCGTTCCTGTATACTACAACTAATGAAATGACCGAAGCCTGCCGGAAAACCGATGAACTGACATATTGTGTAAGCTTACTTAACCGAGTAAATACTCAGTCTAGATAAAAGGAAAACTTAATGGTTCAATTCGAAGTATATAGGTATGGAATGTGACACAGTAATGAACAGAAGTCTGTTTGTCAAATAAATAGTTGTTTTATACAGGCCCCAAGGATGAACAACTCCAACTCCCAAAAAAGTTCACTGTGGATAGTTAGTTTCCCTATGACTATCAACTCAATTGTCAAATAATTTGAATGATAGCCGATAGCTCTTCGGGCTCCTGAAAACATTGACATTCATTTATGTCGCGCCGATTATCTTAGATGAAACATGCTATCGTGAAAAGTAGATTATTATGGATCTATGGGAAAGACTTAAGTGCTTCCCCAAAGTCACCTAAAGAAAGGATTAGTTAAGCATTGCAAATAAACCTGAAAATATACAAACTAGATTTAAATACTTGAGTAAATGATTTATTAGGTAGTTAGATGCATTAAAAAGTGGAGATAAAATACTTATCTGTGCCTCTACTAGCTATTGTAAAAAGAGATCATATAGGGATCACGAATGGTGACCGTAGCAAAAGATTTGATCAGCTTGTTCTAGCACAATCAATCCAATAAATTTTGAAGACATTACAATTAATATGGACGGACGCAGGAACAAGTGAATTACAGAGTATTTGAGTGTGTAGGATAAGTAGAAAGCAAATCATTATCAGAGAAAATTTATAAAAAAAAACATCCGCGATCAAAGCATGAAATCAGACAATGAGAAAGTAATCGCGAAGAAGAATATGTATTTTTAACTATTCAACAATGTTTAATATATAAATTATTGTTGACATGTATGTATCTATAAGTGTACACTGCATGTCTCGAATGCGTAAGGACTGCATGAACATGAAATTTTTGAATATAAATGAAAAATCACATAATATAAGAACGTTAAGTTGCAATATGTATAATGAAGAATCAAGAGTTCACATAAAGGTATGTGCATTTGTGAATGGGTGCATTAAATCAATAGTTAGTAATAAAATATATAGTTGGGAAGCTAGGCTAATGAAAACATCTGGTTAGTTTTCCAGAAAAATTGGGAGAAAGTACTCTGAACTTCGAGGCCGAGGAAATAATATAAACAATAAATGGTGAGAGAATGTGTTTTAATAAAGCCCGTATACTCGGGATTATGAACAATCTCTGTCCAGACAAGCCTAATCCCCTTGTTCGTCAGCATCATTCGATAAAATAAAAAACGGAATTAAGGCTGACTGCTGATGGCGATAGGCTAGGGAAATCTTAATAAGTCAGGTAAATAATAAGTCGATTAAAGTGTATCAAATATTACAAAACTGATTAAATGATAAAGAAGGTTTAGAAAGATACGATGGCAATAGTAAGGACAAGAATTAGATATGGTTCTAAGATAGAAAAAAGCAAATTGTAATGAAAAAGTCATATATATATATATATATATACTTCATTCCAATTCGGCTTTTTCTATCTTAGAATCATATCAAAATCTTGACCCTACTATTGCCATCGTATCCTTATCATTTGATCAGCTTTGTAATATTTAATACAGTTTAATCGATTCATTATTTACCTGATTTAGTAAAATTTTGTTAGCCTACCGCCATTATCAGTCAGCCTTAATACCGTTCTTTACTTTATGAATGATGCTGAATATAAATTAACGCTACCAGGATCATGTACATATAAGTGGACAAAGAAAATAGAGAAGTAGAAATGAAAATTTGAATACAGGGAATAATGGGTCGCCATAAAAATGAAATAAAAAATATAGAAAGAACTGGAGCTGTAGGTGGCCGAAAAGCAGCGTGGGACGAAGTAAGGTTAGAAGCTAGAGGATGCATCAAGGGTAGGTTGAAAGGGGAAGGCTTCACGAAGAAGATAACGACCACCAAGAAAAACGTTAATAAAGCGAATGCCTTCAACTATTGTAATTCCATTCCTAAGCGAAGAGAAGCCATGCAATGAAGAGAAGAGCAAGAATGATGCAAAGTTGTGACATCCTCTCGGCATCAGAATTGTTTAGCAATAAGTCATCTCCGAGAGGCTGAAAACCAGCGAACCCGTTGGCTGACTGTCCAGCGGCCCCAACAACTCCGCCTCCAGCTGTCCCACTGGCACCACTGCTTCCAGAACCGGCCAATCCAACTGAAGAACCTCCACCGGAGCCGCTGCCAAAGCCGAAACCACCAAAGTTAAAGGTGGTGGCAAACAGACCAAAGGGAAATGAGCCAATGCCAACGGACATTCGCAGCACCCCTCCATTCCCATTCGCGCCACCACGGCCACTGACAAAATTAGCTCCGTTGCCAAATAAGCTGCTCCATCCAGTGCCAAAAGTGGACTAAAATCGATAAATTTTAATGAATTTTCAAGGGTTATGAACATATTCAGTGAGACATAATCGGATCCAATTTAATAGAAAGTCCAAAATTTAATATTATTTTCATTTACTCCCAGCAAGTTAAAGTGATAAGACATCAAGGAAAAGTGATAGAGAATAAATAGTCAAATCCAAAATATAAAATATGCTGATTAAATATCGCAAGAGCCACGGCTTGAGGTCTCCCCTAAGGCTCAAGAGGGTGCCCGTCTAAGAAAAATTTTACACAATAAGAGAAGTGGTATGTGTAGTCTCACGCTTTTATGCATACAATTAATAAATACTAATTATTTTTGGATATATTCAGTTAAAATTTCTCAGGAGTTTGTATAAATAATTGGTTAGCAAATAACTCCAGAAGATAGACTAATTATTTTGAATGTTGTGTATAAGTACATAAACATTCATGTTTAGGAAGCTATTAAGGCTCTAGTACACACGCCGAAATAGCATCCAAAGATCACACAAAGAATAAGGTTGAGCCTAGCGTCCATAAATAGATTGCTTAAACTATCCATGAGTAGCATCTATTTTACCTTTGATGGTAGGTTATATGAACACACAATGAATTGCGATTGGAACTTGCCTAGCTCCCATCTTAGCGAACGCGTACGTTGTTGTATTCCAAAGAAAGACATGGACTGTCTCCAAAATATAAAACGCTTACCCCCTACAACTCCAAAGATGGAGGCCCAGAAACGAAGGGAAAAGGAAAAATAGTATTACCTATTTGAAATGGCTGAATACAGTATAGGGGGCTGGCAAAAGAAAGACAATGATTTAAAGATGGCGTGAAATAGAACATTCTGAACCCCACGGGTGACGGTGAAGCAGAGAAAGAGAAGGAAAAGAACGTGACCGATTTAAGCAGGATATTAGATATTTTATACCCTTTCGTAGTTGTCCATGCCAACTTATGATTAGTGATGATGCGATGCCAAGCTTTGATTGGACGACGCGATATAAAGTCAAGATTATCCACGCACTTACGCGATCTCTGCGCTAAGCGATGTTGAGTCATGGCTACGTATGGGATAAAAGAAAAATTAAACATTGAATAGGAGGTGAGGGGATAGGTCACTACAATGTCAAAACTTGAGGAAAAACCCCTAAATGCCGATAAGATATTTGGATGAGTATTTTGTCATTTAACATCCTGGTAAGAAAAGCTTAGATATTTTCATGCCCTCATTTAACCAACTTGAAACGGACATTAAGTTCACATTATAAATGAAAGAAAATAGGTCTTTACCATTTTGGGATGTTCTTGTCATTAGAGAAGAGGGTAAGATAGAAAGAGATGTTTTTATGAAGTCAGTGTTGGCACTTTTTTGAATTTTCTTTCCAACCATAGTTAGAAATCTGAGACTGGATTCTTAAAATCTATGATTGTTAGAAATATGAGACTAGCGGTTAGTAGCCAGACTTTAAAAATTACAAGTGTTGAAAATTTTTTTACTGGAAAATAATTATCCTTTGGGCCTAATTGAGAATATCTCTACTGAGAAAGACATTTTCAGACGGAGATTATTTAATCAAAGTTAAACAAGCGGAGACTATTGCATGTCCTAACTCGCCATAATTCGTTCTTTCCAAGAAGATAGGCGAAATAGTGATAAGGTGAGGGATAAGAACATTGTTCCAAGAGACCATCACATTTTCTTCGGCTATGCCATCTTTTAGAGAAATATGAGCTATTATTGAGATCGAATTGCTACAATATTGTGTCTTCCTATAGTCGACCTTATGTTGGTGAGGCATTGCAGCCTATTCGAAAGGATTAATAGAACACAAAAATGTATATAAAGGCAGCTCTATCCAATAGTCAGAAGAGACCAAACACATGGCAGATATTGCACATGAGGTATAATTGTCTCAGACTAATAAGTTTGCTTATTATGGTACGCCTGGTTTTAAAAGAAAGATACTATTAAAATTAATATATCATAGAATACGTTGAATGTGAAGAACGATGGTAGAAAGTTGAGAAGGAACTACTCATGCTTGATTGATAGATTAAAGAAGAGAAAGAGTGTTGAGCCGCCACCCAGTGATGGTGCTAACTTCACTCCCACTCTCGTCCAACATGTTAGGTTAAGCTCATCAATTAAACGAGATGTACGAGATTACGCAGTCCGAGTCATGTCTTTCCTTGGGTGGTTAACGTTAGTGACCCTAGCATGAGGTTATGAAAGGTGATGTAACAACCTGAATTACATGCTTACATCTTATTACCTAGACCAGTTGCCAATGTACCTAAGCAATCTCGGTCAGGGCCATTAAGTCTTGATGACAAAAGCCTAACATAAGGCATTTTGGATCACTTTGATTTAGGACCGAAACTGCGTATATACGTTAGAGCACATACACACACTCAAAAATATATATATATATACAAGCAAAAGTAGCAGGACAAATATGAAAGATAATTAGCCAAACCAGCCTATACCTATCTGTCTATTAATTTTCATTTGCTATTTAAGTCTTTATAAGAGGTAAAATTGAGTAGGATATTCTCCTTGACCTAGTGTTAATGTGAAACTATTACAAGAATGAATTCCAGCTCTGATAATGCCCATCATATAATGGACTAAAATTCAGGTTCTTTTTACTCGAAAATAAGAGGGATTTCTCGTTAAATACATTGTATTAAAGCTAAACAGCTGCATTCCAACAAAAATCAGCCATTCACTT